GTGCGCTCCCTCACCTCCTCTTCGATGGTGGCTGCCATATCGGCGTCCCCCAGCCGACTCCGACAGGGGAAGGCTCTCAGCACCGTGAGCACTGCGCGGAGGCGGGAGAAGGCGTGGACATCGATCCCGGCCCCAAACACCCCCCTGCCCATGGGGCCCAAATACCCACTCTGACTGTTGGTGTCCCAGCGGCCCCCCAGGTACCCCACGACCTGGCTGCGAGTCAGGTGGCTGTGGAAGTCCTGGGGAGGGGAGGGACATCGGAAGACCCACTCAGGCTTTGCCTGGCCCCAATGCCAACTGGGGGCCAGGGCCCTTGCATTGTGTGGGAGTCAGCCCACCCCCCTCCTCCTTTGTTCAAACATTGAGTGCTAATGTTTACTGGTAGTGAACAGAGCAGACAAGATCCCTGCCCTTGTGGAGCTGACCTTCCAGGGACACCCTCCCTGAGGACCCCACCGCCCTGCCCAGGCCTGGGAGCCCCGGCTCAGAAGGGACAAGGTGGGAGCTGGGAACGCACCAGCAGGAACAGCACGTTGCTGGAGATAGCCACGTTGAATGGCTGGAACTTGTTGATAGCTGCGAAGGATGTTACTTCCACAAGGGTGTGAGGGTTCCTACAGGAGCCAGGAGGGTCCCACAGCCTCAGGAACACCCAGGCCCTTCCCTCATTCCCAGACTGGCTCCCCAGCCCCACAAGGCCAGCTATGAGGTCTGAGGTCTTATCTCCACCGTACCCCTGCTCTTGTGCCCCCCACACACACACCCGCAAGAGCTCACAAGATGGGGATGGGGTCAGGGGGTGGGCATGGGGTGCATCTGACCTGGCAGAGTCCCGACTTCCCAGCATGCAGTAGCGCACTGGCACACGTATCTTGTTTTCCACCCGTTTCCCTGGGAGCGTGGCCTCTGCGGGATCGGGAGGAGGGTGGGGGACACAGGTAAGAAAAAAGACAGTGTCAGTGTCTCCCTAGCCAGGAACTGGAAAACGAAGACCAGGCAGCCCAAGAAAGACAAAACTCCAGGGGCAGCCTTAAAAATCAGGCAGCTGGACTGGGAAATCAGGAGGCAAGTTAACAAACTGGGCAGAAGAGATTTAAAGATCAAATGAAAGACTCAGGAAATGAGGTGATGATCAGGCAGCAGTCGGAGAAATCAGGCAACAGAGCAAAGAAACCTACAGGGGAGCAAGGAAATCAGGAAGCATGATGAAGAAATTGGGCCCCAGATAAAGAAATTGGGCAGTGGGACCAAGAAATATAGCATTCAAGCTTAAGAAGTAAGGCAGAATGTGAAATTAGGGCTGCAGGGCCAGGTGTCAGCCAGGTGTCTTGAGGGCTGTAAGGAAAAGAAAAGCCAGATTTGCCCCCCAGCCCCCTAAGTTCTGTCCCCCTCGCGCCCTGCGTCCTCCGTTTCCCACACATCTCACCCAGGTGGACAGGCTCAGAGAGGCCCTTTGCCTGTGGTCTCCGACTCTTGTCCTCTGCTGAGACTCCTGTCAGAACCTCCTCCTCCTCTTCCTCCAGCAGCTCCTCCTCCTCCCCTTCGCTGGCCGGGCTCTGGCGGGGTTGGAGTTTGGGGGACAGTGACCAGACTTTCAGCTGGATGCTCCCGATCGTCCCCTCACGTTCCACCGGAACCTTTGCTTTGCCTGAGCCTTAGGTCCCTGCCGTTGCCCGAGGTGCCCACCAGAGGGAGCGAGTGAGCAGAGGCGGTCTAGGCTCTGAGGCAGTCTCGCAGGTTGGAATCCTGCCTCTGCTATACAAACTGACTTCCGGCTCTAGTCTCATCTGTAACAGGGCACAATGACCTCCAGCCCCACAGGGGTGGCCTAAGGGGTGGCCGAATGAGATAGTGTGCAAAGCATTTAATAAATGCCGTTGCTTCATTCATCCAGCAAGCAAGAGCTTTGCGTGGATTACTTTACCAGATTCTCTCAGTAACATCTCCTCTTGCTCTCTCCTAAACTGCCCTTGCTGGGATGACCTCTCAGTGTCCAAACCCAACGGCTACATCTCAGTCTCTGTCCCCCACCTCCTCTCGGCAGCATCTGACCCGACTAGTCCCCCTCCTCCTGGGAACTCCTCAGGGACCCCTGCACTCACCTGGCTTTCCTCCCCACTCTCCTTCATTGGCCCAGGGCTGGGTCCTGGGGCCTCTTTCCTCCCCAACCCACACCCCTCCAAGGTGGCCTTGTCTCTTGGGGTTCAAACGCCATCTACCCCCAAGACAACTGCCCACAGTCCTGACTGCACCCTTGGGCCTCCCCTGAGCTCCTGACTTGGGGTCCAGCTACCCCTTGACATCTCCAGGCAGGGGTCTCACGGGGGTCTCACACTCAACATGGCTACCCTGCACCCGACCATCCCCTCAAACCTGCTTTATCCGAATCCCTACATCTCTGATGTGGGCAAACCCATCTACCCAATTGCTCAGAACAAAACATCTAATGCCAACTTCATACCCATCAGCAAGTCCGGTCAGATCCACTTTCAGAATTAACCAGAAGCTACCCACTTCCTCCCCACTCAGTGGCTGATCTGGTTGACTCCATCATCACCCACCTGGACCGGTGCAGTCACCTGCACCCTGATTCCCTGGCACCTGCTCTCGCCACCCCTCTAAAGTCTGTCCTCCCTATAACAGCCACCAGAAGCCGCTTGTGAGCACCTGAGTCCAGTCCTGTTCCTCCTCTGCCCACAGTCCTCTAGGGCTCCCACTTCCCTCAGGGTAGAAGCCTAAGTCCTTCCCAAGGCCCCCAAGGCCCTGCCCAATCTGCCCCGTCCCCTCCCTGTCCTCACTTCCTACCACTCTTCCCCTTGCTCACTCTGTTCCAGCCACACTGGCCTCCTCACTATGCCTTCAGTATGTCAGACACATGCCAGCCTCAGGGCCTTTACATGTGCTGTTTTCCAGAAATCCTCATGGCTCCCTTTCTCTCCTCCTTCAATACTCCGATCAAATGTCACCTTCTCAGTGAGGCCTTCCTTGACCACCTTATTCCTTTCACCACTCCCATCCCCTGCCCCTGCTCCCTTCTTCCAACAGACTATAAGAGGGTTTTATTTATTTTGTTTGTCTCACTCTTCATGAAAGCAGGGATTTTTTCTCATTTTGCTCACTGCTTTATCATTATCACCTAAAAGAGGGCCTAGCACCCTACTGGCATTGACTAAATACTTGCTGAATTAATAGCCCTATGGCATGGTGCGAAAGTTGGTTTTATAAGTCGACTTGGCTAGGCTCTAGTACCCAGTTATTTAATCAAACACTAGTCCAGGTGTTGCTGTGAAGGCATTGGGTAGATGTGGTTCACATTACAATGAGTTGACTTTCAATAAAGTTTATCCTTGATAATGTCGGTGAGCCTCATCCAATCAGTTGAAAGGCCTTATGAGCAAAAACTGAGGTTTCCTGGAAAATAAGGAATTCTGCCTTTTAAAGACTGCAGCATTAACTCCTGCCTAAGTTTCCAGCCTGCTGCCTAAGTTTCCAGCCTGCCAGTGGTCCTACAGATATCAGGCTTAGGAGCCAGATATAGATCAACAGATGGATGGACAGAGAGAGAGAGGGAGCAGGGGAGGGAGAGAGAGGGAGAGGGGGAGGGGGAGAGGAGGGCAGGAGGGGATGGGGGAGGGAGAGATCTCTGATACACATGGGTACCATTATAATCTCTGTTTTACATATGACTAAGACTAGGAACCCAGAGAGGTTCCTTGGCCAAGTTCACCCAGCTGGTGAACATTTAAGGAATATCTGTTTCTACCATGGCATTCAAGACCCTCCCAGATCTGATCCCTGCCAACGTCTCCAGCCCCCTCAGCTGTCAAGGCATCTGAACCTCCAGCTGCATCAGCTAATAATGGTTCCCTAAGCGGCATGTGTTGCTTCAGGCCTACATGGCTTTGCATATGCCATTCCCTCCTCTGGAAAGCTCTTCCCTTCATCTTTCTCTGACAAACTCCAGTTCATCCCTCAAGTCCCCAGCTCCAACAACCTCTCTCTGGGCACTCCTTGTCCAACAGTGAGTCAGGGAGGGCTTGCTGATGGGGGCTGAAGGACGCACCTCATCGGCGGCAGCTGCAGGCACATGGAGCTGGTTTCGCCGGAGCCAGGCCGCCTTGTACTTGTCCAGTTTCTGGCCCTTGTACTTGACAGAGGCCCAGCCACAGCCAGACTTCTTGGCTGGGTTCACCAGCTTCTTGCAATGGGTGGCCCAGGCACTGGGTGAGTTGAACACCTGGCCCGTTTCCTGCCACACGATCCTCCCATCTGGCTGCAGGTCTCCCAAGAACTTTTTCCCCTGCAGTGACAGTGGGTTGGATGAGCCCAGGATCTGGTACCCAGCAAGACCCCTCCTCCAGGAAGCCCTCCTTGACCCCACGGTGCTCCCTGGGGCTTGGCACCCACTTCCCACTACAGCACCCCTTCCAGGAAGCCTTCCAGCCTCCCAGTGCCTGTATGTCCGTGATCACAGTCCTGATCAGCCCAGATTGAAATTGTCCAGTTATGGGTATGTCCCTCCTCCCTTCACTGGACTGTGAACCCCAAAGGTCTGTCTTGATATCTGCTGTGTCCCTAACAGCCACCATAGCCTGGCACACAGCAGGTGCTCAATTTATAAATTGCTCCCACTCACAAAGAGCATGAACAGTAATAGTAATAATACCAAACACCTGTGAAGCACTTACTGTGCAGCAGGCATGCTGCTGAGCACTTACTCAATGAATCCTCATACAACCCAGTAGGGGAAAAGAAAATCTCATTTTGCAGATGGGGAACCTAGTACAGAGGGAGAACGAAGTCACACAGCCAGGAAGGCAGCAGTGTCCTCTGTGAGCCTCAGTTTCTCCTTTGTGGAATGGGGTGTTTGATGAACAATGTTCTCCCGCCCAGAAGGGCTCGTGCTAGATCTGGATGGTCCGTGCCTCAGTTTCCCCTCCCCACACCGTTGCTCCGCCTGCGGCAATGGAACACCCTGGACTCCAGTTTCCCCTTTTCTGGGCTGGGGGGCGCTCACCAGATAGTAGATTGACAGCACCCCGGCGCCGGGCTCCAGCAGCGCGTCTTTAAGGAGCACCCGCAGCGTGACCGCGCGCCTGGTGAGCGCGCCCCCAGGCCCGCTGCAAC